GCGCCACCACCCGTCGTCCACACTGGTGGTGTCACCATGTACAATCAACGCGAAGGGGTGCCAACCAGAGAGAGCGAGAGCGTGCAAACGGGTGAGTGCGCGTGCATGTGCATTGCTCGCAGGCATGAAGAGGGGGTTGGGTCAGCAGGACAAGCGTAACTCATGTGGTTTGTTTGCTAAACTCACCACTCATGAAGCTTGACGACGTCACCACTTTGGACAGAGATGTGCTGCAAAACAGATGCACATTGACACGAGAAGTGGGAGCAAAAGGGGGGGGGGATGAGCTGGTGAAATACGGAAGTGATCCGGGAGAGCAGGAAAGCTGTGCACAGTCACACATTGCAAACACACACACAGACACACACATACATACACACACGCACACAAAACAGCATCTCACGCATCAGCAGCTCAGCACCTCCTTTGTTTCGCCCAAGTAGTCAAACATGACGACAGCGCTGACGTGTGCACCGCTGCTGAGATCTGGCGAGTCCACAACTCGCGTCTCAACACCACCACCACCATCATGATGATCATCATCATGATCACCATCGTCATCATCATCGTCATCGTCCCAGTCCTCGCTCTCCTCCCCTTTGGAGACGATTCGTACGGCCAAACACGTGCAATGAGTTGACGTGCTTTCGCACAGTGTGTGTGTGTGTGTGCGATCATCACAAAGGAATGACCAAGAGCACGCAGCGAGCAAGCTCAGCTCAGCACTCAAGCAATTGCTCTGCCAGCCAACCATCGCACCATCCAAACCAAGCATGAACATATCGTTCCAATCCTCGCACCTTCATCATCATCATCATCATCCTCGTCGTCATCGTCATCGTCATCTGCGTTTTCCTCCGCAATCGCACGCGCGCGTGTGTGCGTGTGCGCATGTGTGCGTGCGTGGGCGCGTGTGCGTGTTCGCCTGCTGCTGCGGCGACGAATGCTGCGGCGAAGGGCAGTTTGAAGCGAAATACCCTGTTGTTCTCGCAGTTGCATCGAAAAGTGGTGGCGGTGGTGGTGAGCGTGCGTGCGTGTGCGTGTGCGCGTGTGTGCGTGTGTGTGTGTGCGTGCGTGCGTGTGCGTGTGCGCGTGTGTGTGTGTGTATGTGCGTGCGTGCGTGTGCGTGTGCGTGTGTGTGTGTGCGTGTGTGTATGTGCGTGCGTCATATACAAGTCACAACAACGTAAGACGTTTGATCATGCACATCCCTCCCTCCCTCCCCCACCAGCAAACACCGTCTCACTTCGAGGACAGCGAGTTGGGCGTGACAGCACTGCATCCGCGTGTGATTCGCGCGGACTTCGTGCTTGTGTTTGTACAAATCTGCAAACAGTGGTGATAAAGCATCGAACAGTGTCAGGGATGATGGGCAGGTGGAACGTGTGCTGTGAACAGGGAGAGCATGAGAGGAAGGGCGTGTGTGGAGAGCGCGAGGGTTTGGAGTGTGGCCTGTGCTTGCGACCACCAATCAATAATGCACAATCACAAGTCAACAAACAAACAAACAAACAAACAAACAAACAAACAAACAAACAGCAGAAGCACCTGGGAGGACATCGTCTGCGCGGCCGAAATGGGGCTGATTGCGGTACTCGTGATAGATCCTGTTGACGCCTTCTAGCAGCGCCGTCTGCTCCCCAATCGTTGTCGCAAGTCCGCTCACCTCCCCTGCAGCAGCCACGACAACATTATGACAATGATGATGATGGCGATGATGGTGATGATGATGATGATGATGATGATGATGATGATGATGATGATGATATTGTGACGTGAACAGGAACGCTGCTGCTGCTGCTGCTGCTGTTGTTGTTCATGTTGTTGATGTTGTTGTTGATACTCATAACACCCGGATCCCACATGAGCTCACACCCACTTCCCTCGCTTTGCAGCACCAGCACCGCAGCCACGCCAGCTCACCTGCGATGCGGCCTGTCGTCTTGGTGATGTACTCGTCGTTTGCGCGCCCTTTCTTCGACACCACGATCTGCGGTCGCAGCCACACGGCATCCCCCTTTCCTTTGTCTTCCTCCTCCTCCTCCCTGTCCTTCGTTTTTTGTTGCTTGTCCCGCCCGGCTTTGGTCGAACCGCTGTTCCCCTCAGTTGCAGAACTGGACGTTTCATCCGATGGCAAGTCTTTCCTGTCCTTTGGTCTATCCTTTTTCTGCTGCTGCTGTTGTTGTTGCTGCTGCTGCTGTGTGGACAACACTGGTGGCGCCTCGAATTCAGCGACGGGCGGTGGTGTGCATGGCGCAGGTGTGAAGCTGTTGAGCCACGCAGAGAGCTCGCAGCCCATGTTGCACGACTCAACACCCTGCATCGTGTGCTCCTGATGTTGTGTGTGTGTGTGTGTGTGTGTGTGTGTGTGTGCGTGCGTGTGTGTGTGTGTGTGTGTGTGTGTGTGTGTGTGTGTGTGTGTGTGTGTGTCCAGTGGCCATGACGCATGGCTGCGATTATTTTTTTTTTTATTTTCATATTTTTTGTTCTCCCCTCCCCC